CAAATGATATTGGTTACACAAAGTTGATCTACAATCTATTTTATATGAATTTGGAAATAGTTACACCCTACCCTTAATTACAATATAAAAATTATAATCGATAATTCAAAGTTCGTGATCCTGATTGGATGGATTCCAACGTCACGGTATGAAATGATCTACGAAAATTGGCCAATCAGAACGAAAGCCCTCTATGCTACGCGACAATAAATGCAGTTTCGCGTATCTATATGGGTAGAAAACAGGCAAATTTTTTCTAAGTACTGTAAAATTTTTTAAAACTTTAAATAGAAATATCTCAACAATTATCAAACCAAATTTAATAAATTTTTTTTAATACTGATTCTACATAGTTATAAAAAAATTTTATAAGCTAAAGTTTAAAAAAAATTTACTAAAAACAATTTACCTGTTTTCTATTGACCTCCCCCCATATGTCTATTAATTAAAATAATAATATGAATGGTACACTTCCAGGATTTTCTTCTGGTAGCGGACGACGTATCGATCCTCTCTCGGAGGAGTCAATTAACAGAGCACGATCCTTTTTTGAAGAAGAACGTAAAGATCCAAAGAATCTTCCCGGATTTTCTTCTGGTAATGGACGCTACGTAAGTCCAGTTTCAGAAGAATCACTTAACAGAGTACGAGGCCTTTTTGATGAAGATATCCATAAAGACTCAGGAAATTTATCGGGATTCTCTTCAGTTAGCACTCCAAAAAATCTCTCTGGATTTTCTTCTGGTAGTGGACGTTCCATAAGTTCACTTTCGGAAGACCAACTTAATAAAGCACGGCGTCTTTTTGATGAGGAAGTTTGCAAAGAAAGCTTTTCTTCTCCTATAACTCAAAAAAAATTATCTGGAAATACTTTAAAAAGTCTGTCGAAATCACATTCAAATTACATACATAAATCGATCACCCCCAAGAAAACTGTCGATAAAAATTCTTTGCATACGCCAAAAAAAAGAAAAATATTACATCAAAACCCAAATATTGTAAACAGTAAAGCTTGTTTGTCCGTGGAACGGCACATAATTAATTCATCGGATGCAAATAGAAAACTATTTGATCTGACATGTGAGTTTATAACCTTCTTTACATACTATTTCGAGTTGACATAAATCGCTTAGTTTTATTCTTATTATTAGCACCATCGAAAAGATACAGGCTTCAGGACATTGTAAATAATTATCCCCTTAATATCTCTGCAACTGAATTGAAAAAAATCGGAATGTAAATAGAATTAAATTTATTCAAATCACATTGATACTTTAATATATTGTACTAAACGTAAAAGTGCAATTAATTTCCCATAAGACCTTCCGAAATTATTACTATGATACCCGCTAGCGCCCTTTCATATCGATTCATCTTATTTGAGGATCAACAATGCAAAAGTTCCGAAGGTTTATCAACTTGGGGTGCACACGAAGCATTTACTTGTCTTATTGAACGTGGAGCGAATCCAAATCTCATCGATGATCGTTGGGTGTGCAATCATTACCAATGGATTTTGTGGAAAATTTCTGCTATGATTCGGTCTTTTCCGCATAGATTTAATAGTTGGTGGTGTCCCGGTAAAATACTCGAACAATTGCGGTATAGGTAAGAAATTAATTTTTTTATTATGTTTGCTTCAATTAGAAGTTCGGGCATTCCTCAAATCAGAGGCTCTTACGTTATATAAAATTTGAGTAGATACCCATTTACGGCTATACTACATGTACTAATGTCCGCACCTTTATTTTCAATTCATAACAACAAAATTGATTAACTCAAGATATGAAAGAGAGATTAATTGTGCGCATCGTTCTGCGCTTAAATTAATCATAGAAGGAGATGGAAATGCAAGTTGGCCAATGGTTTTATGTGTATCTAATATATTTGAAGATCCTGACGTTCAAATAGAGGTTTCATCAGGTATGTTAATTTTAAATTAACCAATATATACTATATCAGTTTATTGACATTCATATATATATTATTGCATAAAAATTGTTTAGAAAACAAAGCTGGAACATGTCAAATTAAATACGGCCTTGAGTTGACAGATACATGGTATAAAATTCGGGCCAGTGTCGATCAACCGCTTCAGCGTGCTATTATGAGATCAAAAATACGCATCGGATGTAAATTAGAAATATATGGGGCCAAAGTACTTTTGTTTAATGGACATTAATGAACATCTTTTCAGATAAAATTGATTCATAATATGTTATTTACTTTATAGATTATAGGGGGGTCCGCCGGGATACCTGCTCTCGACATATCGAACTCTTCCATTCGCTTAGACATTTCGGCAAACTCTACTAAACTTGCTCATTGGGATGCAAAATTAGGAATCGGACGATTTCGTTCGTACGCATTATTACAAAGCCTTTCACCTGATGGTGGATTCATTCCTGCGATCGATGTAATAATTCAACGGAAGTATCCTTTACTTTTTCGTGAGACGATGAAAGATGGAACTGCTATTATACGTAATGCAAGGGGTGAAGAAAATGCCATGAAAGAACACGAGGTATGTAGAAGTCTTACAAATAATATGAATAAATATTTTCATAAGACAAGTGAATTCCTATATTAATTACTGTAGGTGAAATTTAATACATTGATTGAGTCATTGATGACTGAATTTGAGAAATCATACGATGATGATTTAAAAAAAGTAAATCGAAAACGATCATCGAGAGAAGGTATAGATCACTATTAAAAGAAATTATCAAATGTATAATATACTTAATGGAGCTTTTTATCGTTTAGAACTTAAAGACATTACAGCTGGTGATGAGCTTTATGCCTTTATTCAAAATAATGGCGATATGTCCGAATTTTCCCAAGAATTAAGTTCCTTACAGATTGAAAGACTTCATGAATACATCCAACGGAAAAATGAAGAAAAAGCAGTCAAGATGAATCAATGGATTTCTGAACAATCTTTGGTAATTTTGATTATTATTATTATTATTATATTATTTAATGGCTAATCAATCAAACTTTATAACTTTCCTGCATTAGTTTCTAGAAAATAAACGTACTGTTACAACTTTTTTTAAGGTTCGCGTGTGTGATTACCATCCATATTCATCATCACTGGTTCGTGGACGTGATGCTATAATCACCATTTGGAATCCTGACGAATTTTTGGTTAATTATTTGCAAGAAGGACGACGATACAAGGTAAATCAAGTTACTTAATTATGTAATACGTTATTCTTTTTAACGGTAATCTTTTTTTTATACAAGATATACGCATTAACAGTAGCAAAAAACCAAGTACACCCATTACTGGAATTATTGCCGATACGATTGATGTCAATTAGAGGGTCAACTATTTGGAAAGAAGCTCCAACAGAATCGAATATTATTACACCATATATACCACGAACTGTTACACTTTGCAGTGAACTTGATAAGATGAAATACAATGATGAAGTCGACATAGTTGTAATACCTTTAGGTGTGATATAAATTTATCTGTAATAATGACGTTTATGTCGAATGGTTTAATTCTAAAGCATCATAATTTGTGATTGTATTAGTTGTAGGAGAGCCTTATTCTGGTGATAAATTCGGAAAACAAATCCAACTTCAAAACATTTTAGCACTTGATAGTAGTGAACAAATAGTGCAAATAGAAGTAAAAGATTCAATATCAGTCGGTATGGGCAAAGTATTAAAGGTATACCATTAAACATATAAACGGTTTATTATTTAATCTAATAAGCAATACTGACATCACTTTCGAAGCAGCCCATGAATATTCTCGCTTTCAGCAACTTGCGATATCGTGACTATGACCCGAAGTACGCGGTTTACATTTTATCGTCATGCGATGAAACTGAAATCAAGATATCATCGCGTGAACCATATTTAAGACAGGCTATGGACGAGTTAGAAAATTGGAAGACAAACAACGCTTCGATTATTTCCGAGTATGAAGCAACCGCAGCGGAGCTTTGTAAATTTCCAACTATAGATGCAGACATTTTGGAAGGCCAAAGGTAGTTATCACCTTCACGTCATATAAAATTAGGTAATGACATGAATAGAACAAAATTTCTCTTTTAAACACAAATAATTGAATAAGTGCATTCTAAACTATACTTGATTACGATGTGTCAAGTGGTGAAGTAACGGAAAAAATTTTAGAAGTAATAAATTAAGATTTTATTTCTAATTGCTAATATTCTTATTACATATATTGTTAATAAGTGTTGCACTTATCTCAGAGTGTTGGAAAAAATTACACATAAATTGGGCCGATATAAATGTTTGAAACCGCTTCTATAGTGATTTAAATTGAGAATTTGAGAAGTGGCAAAGCAGCCAAGAAAACAATAACGATGCGATGTGATTTAAATGTCGATATACCTTTCTTTGAAAATTCCTGAGTAGGAATTAGTTATAAATGAGATTGTGAATGTGCTATGCCCTTCTATTTAGGGACAATGTCCAAATAAATTTAATTAGACTTTTGGAAATTTGGGCATTTGGACTATGTCCAATTGTCCAGTATGGCCAAATAATTTTTTGAACTTTTAGGCATCGGATAATGTCCAAAATTAATCGGACGTATATCCAATTATCCAATAATTTTATTGGATAGATTTAATAAAATTTTATAATTCAAAGTTTGATATTACTGTATAAAAGTAAAAATTATACACTGAGTGTCATGAAATGAAATTTCTGCTTAAACACATAGAATCAGTATAGTACCCGAATAATTATAACAGATGTTATATTTGAGCCATCAGCAATTTTTCTGCAATTTGATTGGATATAAAATTTTTTAGCCAATTAAATTGCTTAGTTTGCAAAATTTTGACATCTGTTAGCTATTTTTTAAATATGACCTCCATTAGTATTGTTCCAGTATATAACTGATTTATACTTTGCAATCTTTATATAGTGACTAGGGTATAATATATATGATAGCAGCAAGAAATTATATTACAGCTTATCATATTGAAATTCTTAATTTTACAGTACTAGCGTGGGGGCTTTACCTTGAAAATAACCTTACGGTATCATGTACCGTAAGGTCATTTTCAAGGCAAAGACCCCATATATTGATATATATATAGTATATACAGTATATAATAGATTAGCAAAATTATTATTTGTGCTATAGCCTGAATATTGGCCTAAATTTAGGCCATAATTAAATTAAAAATGGGTTTTCTATTTATCAAATTCCACAAATCCGCCATACGTATTAGTATGGGAAAAAGAGCGTTTAGTCTTATGTATTCTGGGCCAGTGTTGGACGATGATATAGAATCATATGAATCATATGCCATATCTGATATTATATTTGTTCAACACTACTCTAGGCACATTTTACTCTCATACTGTAGAAGGCTGTATCTCTTTGACTAATGGTCAAGGTAGAAAGTAAGCCACGCCTAGCATATGCTCTCTGTGGTTGATGTTGCCTTCTAATTTTTTATTTTATTTTATTAAGTGATAATCCGCGGGTAGCCGACACTACTGCACTAGTACCATAATGAAAATTAGGGCAAATTTAATATGAATTTTATAATAGAACTCAATCTGGTGCTGCTACAAAGAAAGTTATTTTTTATTAAGTTAACCTTTCTTCAAGTTCTAACAAAATTTATAGAGCTCATTTTTGTGATTCTAATGGCAGTAAGATCGTTAAAATTGACCTTGTAGTTCTTGAGATATCTAAAGTTTTCTTTTAAAGATCATATAAAATTTCTTTATAATTTTGTAAAGAAATTTTATGTGATATTTAAAAGAAAAGTTTAGGATATCTCAAGAACTACAAGGCCAATTTCAACGCTCTTACTACCATTATAATCACAAAAATGAGCTCTACAACTTTTGTTAGAGCTTGAAGATAGGTTAACTTAGTAAAAAAATAACTTTTCTTTGTAGCAGCACCAGATTGAGCTCTATTTTAAAGTTCATATTAAATTTGCCCCAACTTTTACTATGATACTAGTGCCGGCTACTCGTGGATCTTCAGTTAAATTTGAAATTTGGAAAACGCAGATTATTCACCAGGGTATGATAATACAGTGCGGGCATCCTTAAATTAACACATAAAATACATAATCTTTAAAAGTTTATAAATAAAAAACCAAAATAGTTATAAATTAAATCGCTTGGCAAAATAATAAAATGAAACCTAAAAAACAATCCTATAAAAAAAGTCGATCCGATCCGTGTTTTATATTCCACGTTTTTTCCGAAAATATTGCACATTTACGGAATTTATAACATTTATAACCATAAATAATGGAGATTATAAATGGCAGGAGAAAAAAGTAAAGGAAAAATCACTCACTCTACGCTTCCTTACACTATTTTCCTGATACAAATAATAATACTAATAATAATAATTTAACAAACGAATATAAACTTTTGCTATCAAGGATGAAATTATCTAAACTTCTGCAAATAAGACCAGGAGTTGAAAGTGGTTCAAGCTGTTCCGAAATTGGAAATGGTTCAAGCTGTTCCGAAATTGGAAATGGTTCAAGCTGTTCCGAGGATGAATCAGTTTCATCAAGCTCTTCCAAGCATAATGAAGAAACATATAGCGTTAGAACGTATTATCTTAATGAAGTAGAAGTTAAAGAGAATGAACATAGAGTATTTATTTATAGTAAAAAATATGCCAATATGGGTGATGCTGGTGGAACAAATAATGTTGGTTATTGTTATCAGAATGGATTTGGAGTTGAAAAGGATGAACATAAGGCATTCATTTATTTTCAAAAATCTGCAGAGATGGGTGATGTTAATGGGACATTTAATGTTGGATATTGTTATTTTAATGGAATTGGAGTTGAAAGGGATGAACGTAAGGCATTCATTTATTATCAAAAATCTGCAGAGATGGGAAACGCTGATGGAACATTTGCGCTTGGTGATTGTTATTATCAAGGGTTAGGAGTTGAAAAAGATTATTCTAAGGCATTCATTTATTATCAAGAATCTGCAAAGATGGGGGGTACTGAAGGAACATTTAATGTCGGATATTGTTATATGAAAGGAATTGGAATCGAAAAGGATGAAAAAAAGGCATTTGTTTATTATCAAAAATCTGCCGATATAGGCAATGCTAAAGGAGCATATAAAGTCGGTCGTTGCTATAATAAAGGATTTGGAGTCGACAAAGATGATCATAAGGCATTCATTTATTATCTAAAATCTGCAGATATGGGGGATGCTAAAGGAACATATAATGTTGGATATTGTTATGATAAAGGAATTGGAGTTGAAAAGCATGAACATAAGGCATTTGTTTATTATCAAAAATCAGCAGAGATGGGAAATGCTAATGGAACATATAATGTTGGACGTTGTTATCAAAAAGGAATTGGAATCTCAAAAAATGAGCACGAAGCTTTTATTTATTATTTGAAAGCCGCCGGTATGGGTAATGCTAATAGTGCATTTAAAGCTGGTGTTTGTTATCGAAATGGAATAGGAGTTGATGTGGATGAATCAGAAGCGTTTAAATATTATCTGAAAGCAGCCAATATGGGTCATATTAAAGGATCCAATAATGTTGGTTATTTTTTAGACCATGGAATCGGAGTTAACAAAAATAAGAATGCAGAGTTGTTTTTTTAAGTAGTTCAGTAATAAGATGACTACCACGTGAAGATCGTCAGAAAATACTTATCGTTATATGGTTTTACCTATGCGTACAATCAAGAATTAATTCAATCTTATAGATACGTATTAATAATTGTCTTATAACGATGCTCATATGGTAAATGAAATTAAGAAATTTATGCATTAAATTATTTATGTTTCAATTTTCTTTCAATAACAATTTTTTAATTTTGATATGTATATATGTTGTGGGGGATTCGAAATTTTGTGGATTCAGAATCTACTTAAGTGGATTTCGAATCCATAAACAACCTAAGTCTCTTTAAAATATCATTTAAATAATCGAATATAATTAATCATAAAATCATGCGTATTCAAATATGTACTGTATATCGCAAAAGTATTTAAGCTTACTCTAATAAATTAATTAGCATTAGCTAATTTTGAAAAAAAAGTCATTTGCAAGATATTATAAAAGCCTTTATTTCACAATCCAATTAAAATTTTATAATTATAGTATTACATGACTCTATTAATACCCACAGATTTTAAAAATATTGATGCAAAATACTTTTTAGCTATGGAAGTTAGCTAATGAAACGAATTCAAATTATCACTCGTTAAAATGAAAATTCAAAAAAAAAAAAAACTTATGAATATAGCATTCTAATTTGATACGTGAAAGCAGTGTCATTTCGTATAATTAAATTCAAAAATAGAAAACATGTAATAAATAATTGCCAGTGTTCCAAATCGAAAATCAAGTTAATCATCGAATGATAATTTTATTAGACAACCAATCGATCGTTGATGATTAATTGATTAATCGATTAGTTGACTAATACCCCGCAAGATCACGGGGTATTATTATTACTAATCGACTAGTTGTATTATACAGCATCATACTGTACTTTGATCTCGTATTTACCTACGAATCGATTAATCAATTAATCGATTAATTGACTAATCGATTAATAGATTAATCGATTAGTTGGCTATAATCGACTGCGTTTTTGGTTCGATTTGTAACACTAGATAATGCAATGTTGTTAGCTATAAAGTTACATATTTTTTTTTTATCAAAATTATATTGCTTACAATTTTAAAATTCTATTTTTTCTTAAATTCAAATTTACTTAAATTGATTCTGAATCTACTAAGTGGATTTAGAAACTATAGAATTCTGAATCCACCTTCAGTATATATACAATTAAGTGACTTTATATATTACACTTTAAAAATATATATTGCTGAATAATAACAATTGTGGGATAGCATAAAAGTAGAATTGTTGATTTGATTTTGCCTCTTATAGTATATAGCTTAGAGTTTATAGCATTAAAAGAAATATTTTAACGTGTTTATCTACTTATCTTGATGATAGTTATTTAAATTTCGAATTACATGTTATGGGTAATTACAAATTAGATTATTATAATGTAAAAAATTATAAACTTACAGCCGTTTTCAAAAATTTGTGGAAAGATGCAGATCACTATATAATGGAGAAATTCATGATATTTCCCAGATTTCCAGATTTTTCAAGACCAGCTCTAATCGGATTTTAATTTTTACTAAGTAGAATTTCCACATACTTCGATTCCCCACATGGGTATATGGAAATCGTTTTTCACATCTTTTTGAAAACAGCTGTAAAGTACATAATTATATATATATATATTATACTTTTTATTTGATGAAATTAAACATACTAAATAAAATTGATTATTAGATTCAAGATTAATAATATAATATTAGAATTAATTTATTTGTAGCCATGACTACATGTATCCATATTCAATAATTTTATAATAACTCAAATTTTACTAGAGCAAACCTGTTGTGTAACAAAGCATAAATACACCTCTCACAATTTTACCCTACTCTAACTCAACTTTAAGCAGCATATTATTTTTTTATGAAAAATTATTTTGACAGTATAGCTACAAGTAGTTTATAGCTACAAATAAATTAATTCAATAAATAAAAGTTAATAAATATAATAAATTATAACTTTAAAATTTTAGATAGACTTAATATTACTAAAATAATAATTCTAGAAAGATTTTTACTTTAAATATCCGGTGGTGATCATCACCGCCCCTATTTATTTTTAGGGTTAGGGTGCAGTTTTAAGAGGATTTTTTTATATAATATAACATAGATTTGATATAAGGTCCCAATTTCTGTTCCAATGAGGTTTTCAGGGGTCCTGAACATTTTATTTAGGGTACCCGATCCTGTTTACTTAGTACGTTTTTGAGATATAAGCACCCGGTGATGGTCACCACCGGTTATTGTTAGTAATATTCATTTAGAAAAGACAATCAAAAATAATAATAATAGTGTTTTATTACTTTAGATAAACTAAAAAAATCAATTTTAATATATTTTGCAAATATTAAAACCAAAGTAAATTTTTTGAAATCTTCAAATCTAATAATAAATTAATTAAATTCTAAATAATTAATGAAGCAAAAAGCTATAAAATAGTTAATTTTTTTCATTTATTAAAGCTAAGTTCTATTATTATTAAAAATTAAGAAAATTATATTTACAAAAGCAATACAAACCTATTATAAGTATGTCTTAGATATACTTAAATAAAAAATCAAAATATTAAAAAGAATTACTAAAATCAGACTCTTTATTATGCCAATAAAAAAAACTGTAGTTGATTATTTTTTTAGCTTTTAATAAATATTTTACTCAATAACTAGCCATCCAAATTTGATAATTTTTATTTTATTTTGATTCTATAAACTTCTAAAATTAAAATAAAAAATTTTATCAAATTCGAATAGT